TATCATCCTTAGGCCTTCTGCAGCTTCTCCTTTGGCTATAGAATGACTTGGTTCCCTTTGAAGATCTTACTTTCTCCAAATTCCACCACACAGAGGTCAGAAAATTTCTAACAAATTTCCACCGGCGCCTCTGGCTGGCTCTCCCACCTGTCAGTTCCCTTCCTCCATGGCACATGCGGGCTTGTTCTAAAGCCTTTGCCTATGTCCCCAAACAGGTCTCAGCATCCCTGTGTTTGTGCCAGGGTCAGGGGCTCACGTGGGTGGGTGGCATAGAAGAATTTTAAACCTTTCATCCTGATGTCACTAGCTCGGGACTGTGTCAAACCTCCAGTGGTGTACGGCGTCGCCATAACTTCCTTTTCTGGAATCAACATGTCCATCAGCAAGAGGTCAGCCTTCCCACCGTATTCTTGGGAGAACACGATGCTCTCTGCCCCACATCACTTCCCTAGCATCATCTTCCCTCTGAAGGGACCCCTCATGTCCCCACAACACCTTCTTCCACATTGGTCTCACGGGAATCTTTCCACAAATAACCCAGATGGATATGTGTGTGTTAAGAAGATTAGAAATGTAACCAGAAGGCCTTACTGTGTGATTGCTTGGTCATAACCCCTTGCACAGGAGGGTGTATTCCAAGACTCCCAGCGGACAAGAGAAACCATAGAGAGAATTGATCCATGAGTACACTACAATTTCCCTAGATACACTGACTTTCAGGGGAGCTTAATTTCTAAATGAGACACAGCACCAGACTGATAATCAGACACGACCATTGGAACACTATCATGTAGGGAGCTGTGTGGATGAGGTCTGTCTCACTGTAGGACACCTTCTTGTGTGGTACTCACACCTCTCGTGGTCTTGTGAGATGACGCAGTGTCTGTGAGGAGATGACATGGGCTCAGAGGTGCAGCGCTGGCTGCTACCAGCAGACGGAGGAACTTTGAGCCATGGTGACGCAGGTTGATTATGGATCAGTGACGTCCCTGGATGGTGGTGGGGTGATTACTGTTTAGCATAGTTCATGTGCATGCAACAAAATCATGTCGTATGTGACAAAAACCCATAATAATTATGTGTAAAGTAAGACACTGTGCGATCTGTGTGCATGTGGGGAGGTGGGGGGTGTCCCATAACGACACATTATGATCACAGTCCTTGTAAGGACTTCAGAAAATAACGGGATGTGAGTCCTTAACATATCTGTTGGTAATTTATCTTCAAGTTGTACCTTCCAGGACCTCTGTTCATTTGACTGTCTCATGCATACCGTGGGATAATATTACCATTGGCAACACTGCTATAAAGATCAATTACGAGAGCAAACATGCATAAAGGCATGTGAAGAACTAAGAAATGTAGCTCACTGAGATCCTGACATATCACCAATGTCCTTCTCAGAGCTTCTATCTGCAAGCTCAGGCTTTACTGTGATCCACTAACCCTAACCCAACTGCATAGCTTCAGTGCCCAAACAAATAGACTGAAATCTCACCCAAGCTAAACAGAAGACAAATTCCACAATCATTTCATCGCTACAATGTCCGCAGTTGCCAGGACATTATCTTTGACTATCCACAGACACTCAGCATTCAACCAAAGGGTAAAATCGCAAATAATTCTTTTTTAAAAATCAATTGATGGGCAAAATGTACTAAGTGCTTTTAAACCCAGATGGCCAGCCCACAGAGGCTCTTGTGACTGAAGGTGACATTTGAGGTTCTCAGCTAGTCTGCAAAGACTCCTGTGGGGATAGTGTATTTGCAGAGGAGGGGAGCTTCTAAAGTTGTAGCATGAAATTCCTCCATAGACGTAAGTGATGCCAATCGCACATGGAGACAGACTTGGCTGGTGAACCAAAGCAGCTGGAGCATGGATCCCAGTGAGCAGGTGTAGACTCCCCTTGGATGACAATCCTACTAACCTCTTTGGATCACGGTACCTAGGGTTTGGATTTCATGTTCTATTTACTCATCATCGGAAGTTCTTAACAGATTGTCTTAGCATGGTGACACTTTCTATCAATGGATTATTGTGTTTAATAAATCAGTTAATGGCCTTGCCCCAGTGTTCTCAGAGTCATGGCATTTAGGAGAGCCAACACCCTCCACTGCCAGCTGTCACAGGAACCGCTGAGCTGGGCAGAGAGAACACACCATCCCTTTCTGAGACACTCTGGGCAGAACCAAGCATTTCTAGAAATCCATCTCCCTCCCTGTGTGCTTTGGGACAATCTTCAAATGACTCCTGGACCTTCTGCTATGAACCCAAGGCCTTCTTCTGCTGAGTACTTTTCCTTTCAGAATCCCTCAAACCCTGCCACATAGAGAGGGTGGATACAACTCACTTTGCAAGGGGCTGGTAGGCTCATGAGCTGTGTGGCTGGGACTCAGGGCCTCAAAAACCCGCTGGAAGTTGCCAGTGCCTGGCATGGCACTTAGAGTCAGTGATACAGAAGGGAGAATACCTTTTTTTGTTTTTAAATGTTATTCATTTTTGCTTATTTGCAAGGGAGATAGAGTGTGTCAGGTGTATCCAGGCTAAAGCTAGGAGCTGTAACTCCATCCTTGTCTCCCACCTGCTGCACAGGCATCATGGACGCTATCTTTTGCTGCCTTCCCAGGTGCATAGGCAGGAAGCTGGGCCAGAAGCAGAGCAACCGGAACTCAAATTGGCTCTCCGATATGCAATGCCAGTGTTGCAGGTGGCTGCTGTGCCTGCTGTACCAGGAGCTTGCCCATCTACTCTGTTGTTATTTGCACATGAGTATGCAAGGACGGATGTTGATTAAATTTAGCTTTGGGTGAAGCACAGCAAGAGAAACAAAAGTGGCAGAAATGCTTTCCGAAAATTGACAACTGCTTTGTGAAAAGGCAAGGTGAAGCAGTAAGATAGTAGCTCAGGTCTGTTTGCTCAGTGCCAGGTGCTGGACTTGGCATGGGTGATGCCCAGTTGTGACTTCTGCCTCAGGAACGTACAACTCTGAGCAGACTAGTCTGTATACAAGAGCACAATTTAATTCTGTGGAGGCCAGAAGTGTCCTTTTTGAAAAGGGCACAGAGATCCGGGGATCAAACTGATCATGGAAACCATCTGACATCTGGTTTGGCACAGACAATGGGCACGCTCTGTCAGACGGGTCAGATGGCTAAGGAAGAGTCGTGTTGGCCTGAGGGAGCAGGTGACCACCAGAACTGTAGCTCGGAGAAGGCACAGGCTGGGCACTCTCTGCCTGTCACTCTGGTGTTCCTGGGACAGAAAGGTTCAAGCGGGGACCTGCAAGCACCAAGACCCTGTCACGCAGGCTGCCATGCTCAGAGTCCAGACAAGCCTGGGACCAGCTTCTAAAGGGACAGAGCGTAGGATTTTTTTTTTTAAAAGGATGTATACATTTTTGTTGGAAAGTGAGATATATATATCTTTAGCGAGAGGAAGAGGAAGATCTTCACTCCGATGACTAACTCCTCAAGCGGCCGCGATGGCCGGAGCTGAGCTGATCCAAAGCCAGGAGTCACAGCCTCTTCCAGGTCTTCCACGCGGGTGCAGGGTTCCAAGGCTTTGGGCCGTCCTCGACTGCTTTCCCAGGCCACAAGCAGGGAAATGGATGGGAAGCGGGGCTGCCAAGATTAGAACCGGCACCCATATGGTATCCTGGTGCATGCAAGGCGAGGACCTTAACCACTAAGCTATCATGCTGTGCCCAGAGGGTGGGATTTTAGAGATTCAACTGGGAGAATGAATCAGTCCTGGAGAGCACTTGGCTGGGAGTAAAACTGAGGCGACTCCTAAAGTCTATGAAAGACGAACACAAATACAATTTGGTGGCAAGGTGAATGCCTGCTTCCCACGTGTGGTGATCTGGAGTTGCACAAGAGCAGAGCTGCTTGGCTCACTTCAGCACAGGTCTCTGCCATTTGCGCTCTAGAAAAGTGCTGAATAGGGCGTTTGGTGAAGTTCCAAGGGTAACTGCTTGGGCCCTTTGTTTACACATTTATTCATGTGTTTGTTGAGCGGGTGAGGCTGATTCCTGGGTTTTCCCTCCCTTGGAGCTCCCAGGAAGGGCCAGCCACAGCTTCCCAGCACCGTCCCGCTGACCGCTTCCCCATCCAGTCCTCCAGGACTGGCTCCCTGGGATGGCAAGAGGAATGTGCGAAAGGTCAGAATCGGAGGACCCTGGCCGACTTGCCGAGGAGCGCATCCGCTCCCTGCTCTAAACTGGAGGCTTACAAGCTAGTTTCATTTCAGTGATCTACATTCTTGGAAAGTCAGTCGGGCTCTGCTCGTGTTACCATCTTTGCCACTGCCCTGTTGCCCCTGCCACCTCCCCTTGGCTTCCAAATACCCTTTCCGGTTCAGCCCATCTAACTTGGTCCTGGAGACTGGCTCTCTCACCCCAGTTGGCAAACACACTCCCTTGACAAGCTTGGTCTTTTTTTTTTTCACCGATCTGCCAAGTTCATGGGAGGCTAAGAAAGGGAACTGACTGTCATTGGGACCCGGATCAGACTCACAGAAAAGACAGCTGTGTAGTCTGTGTAGCCAGGATACCACACAAATGGCCCATGGGCCGTATGTACTGTTGTCTGTTGGTATACAGCTCAGGAACTAACAGTGATGTTTAAGCTTTTTGAAGTGGTTGGGGGAAAATGAGAATGATATTTTATCACACCTGAGAATGATAGAAAATTCAGCTTTCAGCGTGTATAAGCAAAACATAAGCTTTTAATTGTGTCCCATGAAACGTTGCGAAAAATTTGTTTCTTCCTTTTTTTTCTCTAAGTTACTGCCCCGCGTGGTTGATTTTATCTCTTGTTCGGCAAGATAAGAAACATTTGCGGGGGTCTTCTCTTCCCACCTGCAAATTCTGGATGGGAAACCTGATCTCCCCAAAGTAGCTGCAACAGTGTGTTGGTGGCAAGATTGGCAGTCCTCCGGCGGGAGGGCACAGGGCCGGTGTGAGTAGCAGCAGCACTGACCCCGCTCTTTTCTCTTCGCAGGTCACCGGCCTTTCCAGTGCCGCTACTGTCCTTACAGTGCCTCTCAGAAGGGGAACCTGAAGACCCACGTCCTCTGTGTCCATCGCATGCCTTTCGACAACAGCCAGTACCCCGATCGCAGGTTCAAGCGCGCCAGAGTCGACTCGGAGGTTTCTGGGAATTTCGAGGAGCCCACGGCCACGAAGGCAGGGAGCTCGGTAGAGGTGGCGGAAGAGGGTGGCAAGTGCCAGGAGGACAGCCACTGAGCAGGCCGACCTGCACCTTGCCAATAGGATTTTCACACGGCGTGAAGGTGACGCATCCGGTGAAAGAGGTCGCTAATAGCGTTCCAAGGGGGGAGAAAAATCACATATGACTCCCCTTTCTAGTGTATAGAACAGTTACACAAATGTTAAAATATATCTATATCTATATATATATTAAAAACAAAAACAACACCCAGCCCTTGAACATGGCTGCTAAACTGTTACCTGGCAACCAGTACTTCCGAACAGCGCAGGTGGGTAGGAAAGTAATTTCAATAAATAAATAAATAAATAGAGTAAAACAAAACAACAACAACAACAACAAAATTACAAATGCTTGTGTCCTCCGAGCTCTAGAAAACCGGGGGCCCTTCCAAGTCGAAAGTCATCTTTGTCCAAAAATAATGGCTTTTAACGGCAAAACGATACCATCTAAATGATTTAGCGCTGCCTTGAAGATGGGAGGTGTTTTCGGCGTTGAAAACACCTCTAGAACCTGACACCGGCTGCTGTCATTTGCCTAGCACCCTAATGAGACGCGTGGGGAGGCAGCTGTGGTGCCAGTCAGGCTGGAGCGGTCACTGCCGAGAAAAATCGATTCCCGTGGTATTGTGACTACACTCCCCGAGAAACCTAAGACGGCCCGCAGCCAGCACCAGGGCTGACCGGCATTGCGGAGGACGAGGTCTTAAATGTGCATTAAAAAGAAAAAAAAAAAAAAAACAAAAAAAACCAAACGCAGCTAAATGAATCAGTGTTCAAGAGTCTGCACACAGATGCCCAATGCAGGCTGGATGAGTGATTTTTTTTTCTTTCTTTCATTTTTTTTAAAAATTTATTATTATTTTTAGATCAAATTGCAGTACTGAGAGAGATATTTTCCGGTGGTTGTCCAAAATTTTTTTTTTTTTGGATGATGGATAAGTTTGATATTTTAAGAACGCATAGGGAACCTGGTAGAAATGATTTTTGAGAAGTTAGCCAAGCTTAACCATCAAAGTGCTGCCGAGAAATGGAAATTGACATGATCAGAGAAAGACTGATTTTTTTTTTTCAAATTTATACTTTTAGATAATTTGACTTAAATGTGGGCTGTTCTGGTCCTTATTATTATTATTTTTTTCATCTCTGTGTTAATTTTCGTAAACGTCTCAGACCTGAAGCAAGAGTTTCTTCTCCACCAAGCTCTCACAAAACAGCTTGGACTAAAGGATGAATCCAAACACCCCAGGCTCTATTTCTTAAGGAAGAAACTGCTTGAGTTAAAGATGCCTGTTTTTGTAAAAACAAATGTGTTCTATATTTTTGTAGATTTTAGCTTTTGTACTGATTGGAAAGCGTAAATTCATCAAATTCTGTACCGCACTGAGGGGAGATTCCGAGGACCAGGAACGACACACATCACTCATTTAGAAAAGAGAGAGAGAGAGGTTTCAGAAGGCCGGTTAACAGTTTATCCTGAGATCTGCCGCAATGGTACAAGAGTTCAGCCCTTTCATCTACTTTGTGCTGGTCCTGTTGCTCCAGACGGTAGAGAGAGGTATGGAAGTATTAAACTGCTTCTAAAACAAAATCATTCAGACTTTAAAAAAAAAAAAGTCAATATTTCCTTGCAGGCTGGGAGAGCAGAATAAAACCCCAGGGCCTTAAAAACTTCAGCTCTGCCTACAGCAGTTTACTAAAACACTAAACTGCAATCAATGTAAATACAATTGTTAGCACTATCTATCCTGAGACCAGAAGGAATCAGAGGCTAATGAGGAATCCGAGTTGCTTACACGGTGGGTCATAGGGGGCCTCCTGCCCTAGGTTTCAGTGTAGATGGGATGGCTGTGTTCCTTGGACCCATCCGGCATAGAGCAAGCTGCTTTCTTGTTTTACTAGTCTAGTTCTCACTGCCTTACTTAAATCGAGTTGATACACTTAATGCAACTGTTTCTATGAGCCTAGAGAAAGGACTGAAATGTTATTGGAAACTTTCTGACTGTAGTAAGCTTTAGAATTTTAACTGCACTACTGTGTTTGGTGACTGTGTCAGTCGCTTGCTTTCTGTGTGTTTGCCCCGCCTTTGGTATCTTAGCAAAGAAAAATTAAAAAAAAAATATCTATATTAAAAAAAAAGAAGAAAAAAAAAGATAAAAGAAAAAAAATAGAGGAAAAAAAAAAAAACGAGAGCCACATTCCATTTCTAGCACTTTGGGAGCTCTTTCAGTACGCGTTCATGTCCTCTGGGCATCGTCAGATGCGACAGGCAATAATTTTGTTTGTGACACTGGGAACATCCCCTCTCCTTTGTGGCGTGTGTGTGGATTCCATTTTGTCCAGTGCGAGCCATCCTGACTTCCCCCTCTGACACAGGCCTTCTCTCCAGAACATTTGTAACTTGTACTACAAACAAGTGACAGCCACAGTGATGCAGTGTCAGTTTCTGAATGTCATCAGGTTCCCATATCTAAACATGTCAAGTCCTTGCCCTGTAACTTTGTAGTCTGTGATACCGTCTGCATTCCTGCACCAGAGAACCACATCTATCTTGGAGGAAATCTGAGATCACTAGAGTAGAGGATTTCGTTGCTATGCTTGTAACAAGTAGAAAACTTTGTATTTAAAGTTTATTCTTGGTCATTATTTATTATTATAATACATCAGTCGACAGAACTTTATTCTGGTATAGAAAGTATTAAAAGTTGTTTTTTTCAGCAATGACTGTTTTCTTTCTGCTGTTAGAATAAAATGTCTTTGAAGCAGTCCAGTTTTATCCAGTGTTTTACGCAATAAAACCTCTACCTCTGGAAAAAACAAAAACCCACAGCTTTTCCTATTCACTTATGTTTATTGCAAAGAGGAATCCTGGCATACGTGTGTGGGTGCGTCCAACTTTGGCAAGATGTGGTCCAAGACCACCTTGGAAAGGCCCTGTGGCATTCTGCAGTATTGGGGTGTGTTTTTCCAGGGCACAAAGACTTCACAAAGCACACACAGTGTATGCGTGTGTGTGTGCGTGTGTGCGCGTACGCACCTGTGTGTGCTTGCACATGCCAAGTGCATGCATGAACCGTGCTTCTTTCACAATCACAGCTTTCAGTAACATCCAACTACAGAAACAAGGAGCTGCTTGGCGCAGTGATCCCGTCAGACACTGAGAGCACTGGAGTCTGTTATTCTACTTTATTTAAACCATTAAAAGCAAAGAAGTGTTTCACCTCCAAATTGTCCAAGGCTCATCTGGATGTTTCTTCCAGAAGAAAAAGAAAAAGAACAGAAAGCAGAGAAGTCCCTGGTCTGGGGCCTCCACCTAAAGCAAGCCTCTGACGCTGATCTGAGGGCATTGCAGGTGTCTTTGCCACTGCTTGGGCAGAGCTTCTCTTCACTTCTTGTGTTTCAGTTTGGTCTGCAAAGCAAGTCTACACTCTTCATGCTGCAGCCCTGGGAGCCAGTGGGCTGCTGGGGTCTGGCTAGCAAAGACACCTGCAGTGCTTTACCCGGACTTGCGTGCCCAGCGTGTTTCTTGCAGGTGGGGAGCCCATCTGTGTCCTAGAGTGGGAGCTAATGAAGGGAATAGTCCACAGTCTCACAGAGGGAGGGGTCGGGAAGGGGAAGGTTGGAAGAAGGCTGGCAGCCTCAAGGCATGCCACCTGTGTGGTGGACCGGACACCTACAAGGGTCACACCCACAATGGTCAGGCCGGACCCCACCATGGGGAGATGGGATCTGGGGGCAGAGGGCGGTTAATGAGTGTGTCCTGCGTTGGAGGGCTTGGCATTCCAGCATGTGGACCTGTGTGGAATGGTAAGTGTCACGAGGAAGTGACGTCAGTCTCTCACACTGCCAAGAGGTACTGGACAGACATATGGATTTTGAAGGGAGCCACATTTACCTGAAAAAGCCAAGCAGTGACGTGATGGACAAAATGTGGAATGGCCACAGAGGGGAATATTATTCTGCCATAAACAGATAGAGACTGTCGACAGTCTGGCTGGGTGAACCTCGGGGGATTCCAAGGGGTCTGGCATGGAACTACATACGCTCGGATTCAGCCTGTGTGAGATGTGCAGAGTAGACGAATGAACGGGGACAGGAAGAAAGCTAGTGGCAGCCTGCGGCAGAGGGAGGGGAGGAAGAGGCGTGATGGCTGATGAGTCCGAGTTTTCCTTGTGAGGTGATAAAAAATGTTCTAAAATTAGTCAGCGGTGATGGTTGTCCTACTTCGTGAATATACTAAAAACCACTGAATTGTACAATCTAAAAGGCTGAATTTTATGGTATGTGAATTATATCTCAATAAAGCTGTTATAAAAAATAAAAATAAGACGAAGTAGGAGGCATTTTTAAGAAGCATCAATATGTGTTTCTAGCAAAAGATTTTTTGGAGCACTCTTGGAGCTACAGACGATTGGCAGATCAGCACCGTGCAAAGAATACAAAATTTGGGGTGTAATGACTTAAACTTGAACCCTAGCTAAACTACTTACTGGCTGCGTGATCTTGAACAGTTTAACTGTCCTGAGTTCGTGGATCGTGTCTGTAAAATTATGAGCAGTAAGTACAATATGGCAGGGAAATCGTACAGGCATCTTCTGAAATAGTCTACAAGTGCTGGGTGTTGTGACTCAGGTGTAAGAGTAAATTAGGGAGAAGTGCAGGTTGAATTTCATGCCCGGAAGAGCTAGGTCCACATAAAGTCACTGGAGAAGGGTGACCCCGAGCCAGGTGACTGGGACCCATTCCCCACTCATCCCCTTAAACACTCCAGGGAAAATGTCTGAAACGTTCATTTTGTGGTTTCATTGTTTGGAAAGCCGGCATACCCTCACATCAGCAGGGTGGGAGAGTGGTGCCTGGGAAAGAAGGCGGTGCAGCGGGAAAAGCTGGTGTCGTGTGATTCGCTCATCCAACACACGTGTGGTCTGTGTGCCTGCATCAGGGTATGGTAAGTCAGGCCGTGTCCACGTCCATGGGCAAGAGCAAGGCTGAGAAGAGCAGCAGTGTTCTGCATGGCG